AACAAAAAGATTCGTAGAAGAAAGAAGAAGAAGAGTTGAAATGGGTAAAAAAAGTGGGACCTATTAGTTATAATTTATTTTGGTTTCAACCACTAAATGTAACTAAAAGGAAGAAAGTTAGAAAAAAGTGCTCTAGTAGTGGAAACTGCCTTATTATGTTATAAAAAACTTAAATCTGCCTCTGGATGTAATATTTTCTTTAAATAATGTATCTTTTTATTGTCTGATAAAAAGATATTTATATTTAAGGTTTTTTGTGTGTCAGATTATTTAGTTGGATTTGGGAGTTTGCTATAAAAAGAAAAAGTTCAATACGTTACCACCGGCTTGGACCGACTTTGATAGATAAAGAGTCTTTCTCTAATAGAACCAAAGATATTTTGTTAATCCAAAAGAAATAACAGTATGTTTGCCTTATGAAAGTTCATTAGAATGTTGACAAAAAGAACAGTATGTTTGCTTTAAGAAAGTTCATTATAATGTTGACTAGGATAAGGTAGATTTATGAGTTTTAATTTTTGATTGGCGTTTCTAAAGTAATTCTTTTTTTACCAGTTACACAACCTGGTTCATGAATGGAGTATCTTGATTTTGCTACATGTTATATTCTGGGGGTAGGAATATATATATAACTTGTAGAAATTAATTAATCTGCGTATTTATTATATTGATACAACAAATTAGAGAAGTTTCAAGAAAAGATAAATATTTTAAGGTCGTTAAAAATATCTGTTATTAAGTTTTTTTTATTATATTGTTCAAAAAAGTTTTATTGTATTTTTATATTAAAATTTGAAGTAGAGGGAAGAAGAGAGACGACACGCGTTGAAGGGATAAGGTAGTTGTTGGGTAGAATCATTATTTTTACTGACTCAAATGTTTGATGTAGTGATGGAGTCAGTGAGACAGCTAAGAAGCACTCAAGTTGATGTAGTAGTCCTGGTCTGGAAGTTTCTTCGTCCAACTCTCCAAGTAGTTTATTAGATCAAATCTATGTCTGATAAAAATTAGATCAAATCCGCCTCCAAAAATCCAGTTAAATCTAAAATTAAATATATAGTCATCAAAGGTGTTAGTATTATCATAAACTCCGGCCAAGATAGTTAAAAATTTCTCAGAACACAACCAACTAATAATCATCAAGCAAGAATCATAGAAACATAACATTGGTGTTTTGAGTATCAAATAGAAAGAAAGACATAGATTCTACTTGTTAAGACTGCAAAATCAGTTCTTAAGAATGCTAATGTCTAAATGAGAGTCTATCAAACATATTAGAAGTCTCCTGCTTCATACACACACATCCACTGAGTCTAACTGTACACTCCTTTTACACAATACCCGTGTCCCTTCACCTCCATTCGCACTGCTGCCTCAGGAGTCAGTTTCCATTTGGTAAACACTGTTTGAGTCATTAGTGTTGTTACCATCATCATGAAGGTACGGTACACGATCATGATGAAGAATGACCAGACTATTCTTCGTCGTCATCATCCAGCTCTACAAGTTGTGCTCGCCTCTCAGCAGCTTTCCTCCTGATGAAGAAACCCCATCTCATTGCTGCCTTTATCTTAAGCCACCCAACAACAGCTCTGCCTGATCTACCACGGTCTTCATCATAACCTTGCATTGGCGTGTGTAGAAACGACGGGAATGTATATCCATCCTCCGGCAAATGCGTGGCAGAGCCATTACCTCCTCCTCCCATGCTGAATTGGCGGAGGAACTGTTGCATGTCCTCGTTCTCGAGCATTTCATGGCTTCTGAGTCGGATCTCTTCCTCTGAGAAGAAATCTTCTGCTCCTCTCTCGCGGTGGTTCGACCAGAATTCAAAAGGATTGAGATTTGTCTGGTGAACTGAAGAAGTACTGATGTTTTGGTACCCACTCGTGGATGACTGTGGAGGACCGAGAGCAAGCATACCGTTCATGTTTTGATTGTTCATGGAGCTTTGACCCTGATGTAGATTTACCATGAGCTGATCCTGCGTTGTTGCGCCCGAAGCAACCTCAAACTGTGCTCTCGGGTTGGAGACTAGAAGCTGGGGATGTGGAGGATACCTTGTTGCCATAGTTTGATCATACCCTGCAGAATTGAACAAACTAGTAAGATTTAGTATAGTAACACCATTTTTATGGGTATGGCTGCAACTCACAAACCTCCAATAGCAAAATCAGAAAGCACTGGAGGTTGATTAGCCGGCACTGAGGATGAATGCCCTGCCATCTGCATTGGATGGTTAATGGCAGCAGTTGAGTAATTTGCCTCATCACTTTGAGTAATACCCAACCTCTGAGGCTGCTTCATGTCTATCAGAGATTTTCCATCATACTCTATGACTAAGTTCCAGTTATCATATGCTTTTTTCACCAGCCCATCAACATATATCTTGAGAACACAAGTAAAAACAGAATAAAAATTTGTTATATCTGTCCCTTCAGTAGCTTTGAAAGAATTCAGTTCAAACACAGCTAATTAACTTTGAATCAATACAGGATATAGTGTGAATCATAGCTTAACTAGACCATAATGTTGCAGTTTAAATAAAGGGTGTTATAAGTTAAGGAACATGCATCAAACCTTTTGGCTTTCAGTAAGTGAGTCAGCAGAGTAGTATTGGTCCCCGGAAATGAGACCACTTAGCTCATAGATATTATTGAACACAACGCCGACATTCCTCGAATCCTCAGCATAGTAGATATAAAGCTTACCGCTCAGGACACACGTCTTAGCGTGCTCTACTAGTGCATCCCACATTTTGTTCGACATTCCACTTCCGAGAATCTAGATAAACAAGGATATATATATATAAATTAGTCATGGCGTACATAATAAACTCAAAAAGAACAGCGTCTTTCACGAGCAACCAAAACTAACATAATAAGCACTTACAGTACGCAATTTTGCAGAATCCCTGACCATTATTCTCAGAAAGTCTTCTACAGTGACTATTCCGGCACCATTAAGCTTCTTATGGAATGCACCATCCTTACCAATCTTCTCCAATCTCCACACGTCATCATTCAGAGCAGGTGGATAATGCTTCTTGTACACTGCACATAAACAAAATATGCATCAAACTAAAAGAACTAAACACAGATAAAAAAGATTAAAGTAGAAACTTTTAAAGGCCATACATTCGCCCCTGTGATCTTTAACAATGAAAGCTTCCGTCTTAGCCTCACGTATGCGCATGCCATCACAACACCCAGAAGAAACCCTTAAACCAAGCCTGAACTTCCTACTCCGAATCCAACTCGAGTTATCAGTGAAAACCAGCTCACCCAAAGTTCCAACTCCTTCCTTGAGAGTAACATACAAATCTCCAGTCAGCAACGGTCTCTTTCCTTGACGCTCTTTCACGACATGGCTTTCAAATTCTTCCTGTGTCCAGCCTTCATCATCCTCATTGTTGAAGTCACCCTCAAGGACAACAACCTCAAGCTTGGCAGAAGCCTCAGGACCATATACCACAGCACGGCCAGTGTTGGCATCAATCAAGACGACATGGATTGCAGCACCCTGCTCTCCTTCTACTCTTCCCCCAGTGAATAACGGAAGAGATAACCTAGACCTGAACTGCAACCGTAGGTTCCTGCCATCTGGACCTTCAATTCGCTTTGGAGAAGACCCAGACCCAGAACTGCAAAGTAATAATAAACCTAACAATTGAAGAGCATGTCACTAAAAAGAGAGAGCCATCAAGATATATAATTTCAATTATACCCTCCAGTAAGCCTAGCAGGTCCTAATTTCGCCAAAGCACGTTCCACTTCCTCACTGACCTGCTCAGAAACAAATCCATAGGCATATCTTCTTATTTTTCAACGGATAGATACTTAATAAGCAAATGAATGTAAAATGCTAACAAATACTCAGAGCATACATATAAAACTGTGAGAAGAACAAGAAGCAGACAAAAGTTGAGTTACAACAGTGTAGACAACAAAAGCCAAGAGATCTTACAACTCGGCGGAGAATAGGTTCCAAAGAGGAGCAAAGCTTCTGTAAACTGTCTACTTTCAGAGCCTCTACAATCACACTGTCACAACAGTGAAAAAAACAACAAAAGTTAGAAACTTTTTACGTCAGATAAAAGTAGGGGAAGGAAGGAAGGAAGGAAAAGGAGGAGAAAGAACCTAGCAAGAGCAGGACGTTTACGTTCAGGATGATCACCATCATCACCCCCACCACCGTTACTATCCAAACTCCTCTTGGCTCCTCTATTCATGTTGTTGTTGTTATTATTACCTCTATCCATTCTATTCTCTCTACTTGTGCATTTCTCCTAACACAACCAAAAAACAAATAACCCTAACTTCCTTCCTAGATCTGCAAAAATCCACATAACACCAAAAAAAAAGTCAAAACCTCATAAACTCATCTCCGCACGTCTGAGATCAGAGAAGACTTCCCATAGACTCTCTCTCTCTCTCTCACTAAATTGAAGAGACGAAGAGACAAGTGAAGAAGTAAGTACCTGTTGACCGAGACGGTGGAATCAGAGAGTATCTCTCCGATTTGTAACCGCCGGCGTCGAATTAGGACGATGATTAGTAGTGAACGATGGAAGTGTTTTTTTGTTAAGTCTCCTCGTTTTGGTCTTCTCTCTCTAGAGATGATTTTGGGATTCTTTTTGGGGTTAATCTGTCTAAGTCAACTATGGCGACTCATTGAGCTCTTTGCTCTTTGGCACTGCTGCCTCTACTGGGATTTAATCAGGTGCGGTCAGTTCTACTATAACGCTATTATTGTCGTTTTCAGCTATAACAAAAACTAAAAGACGTCCTCCGGGCCCACTACTTGTAATAGTGGTCGCTACTTCACCATTTGTTCGACCTGATCGCAGCCGTAGATTCCTTCCATGTAGGAAGAACTTTAAGGTTGCACTTTTCCAAAGCCACTTTTTTATGTCGACCAAAGTATCACAAAGATAATTTTGTTTTTATTTACTGTATTAAGCCTTTTCAATTATAAATTATTTGATTTTGCATAAACCATAGATCTTACCTACCAATTTAAATTCAGACTTCCCAAGTCCAAAAGTCGTTAATTTGCAACGAATACAGAGAAGTTGACAAATAATAAAGAAGTGATTAGTACAACAGATGGCATGGAGAGAGTTTTGGGGGTGTTTTTATGCTCTATTGAATTCTCCGAGCCTTTTATGAAGCTTAGCGAGCAACAGCCGGCAAATATCCCGCGACGTGCAAGGGCCACACATGAGGTATAGCACGTTTCCGAGAGGGCGCATGAAGATTCCGTCTTCCCTGAGCATCTTTAGGAGAGACTTTGCGAACAAGGAAGCATACCTGAAACATGCAAGAGCAAACCAATCATGAGGATACCAAAGTACGATGTTTAAGACTGCGAGGACAATAATCAAAGGTTAAATGTCATTAGAGAGCTTACCCGGAATTGGAAGCATCTACTTTAAGTTCTAGAGCGAAAAGGGTTCCTAATACAACCACCCTTTCAACTGCAGCGTGAGATGATATTTGCTGCACTAGTTCTTCGTCCCACAACTGCAAACAAAACACGTGTACGATCGAAAACCATTTAAAGATGCTGCTTATTTATCATGTGACATACTTGTGTCTGGACTTGAGCGTACTGTAAAGTGAATTTAGGAAGAGGAAGAGCGTGTTTATTTGTCTTAGTACCTCTCTTAACGTTCCTCTTTGTGAATTAATGTTATGGTTAGTCTCTGGATCTTTGAACCATTCGATGGCTTTGACGGCTGTTGCGCAACCCATCGCATGAGCTGAGTAAGAGTGGCCATGAAGCAGTGCTTTAAGCTACAATTAATAATAAAGAAAATTAGATGGGTTCAAGCAGAATCAGATTTTGATTGGCAAAAGATGGTTTAAATAAGAGCGAGCCTTCTTCTACTTTCGTTATATTACCTTTGAATCTCCAGAAAATGAATCGAATACAGCATCTGTGGCAAGAGTGACAGCCAAAGGAATCATTCCACCAGTCAACAATTTGGCAAAGCAAGCTATATCCGGTTTGCAGCCCAGAAGGTCAGCAGTAGTCTAGGTAAACTCATGGTCACTTGTCAGCGGAATGTAAATGGAATATGGTAACACAAAATCAATCAAATGATGACATAAAATCAAGTAACAGGTTACTTACCTCTACTCCAAGACGCCAGAAACCTGTGAACACTTCATCGAAAATGACTGGAATTTTTCTATTACGGCACTCATTGACCAGAACTCGTTGGAATAGCGGATCAACCATGTGCATTCCCCCAGCACCATGAACCACTGCAGATAAAATGTCATATTCATTAAAGAACAAGGATGCTAAACCTTACTGAATATTTGGAAGGTAAACTATTTGAAGCCATATTGATGAATATAATTACATACCTGGTTCTATTATCAGTGCTCCAACATGAGCGGATTGTGAAATTCCGGAATATTCTTGTAACTGCTCTGATACATAGGTCGAATAGACTGTTGCAAGAACTGATGTGTCTCTACTCTTGTCAAAAATCTCATCACGAGTGGTGAATGCTGTAAAAGTTTGGGAGTACTAAGTCATACAGCTAAAGGAACTTAATAGGAACTGTTGGATTACATAAAGAAGAAAGGGTGTTTTTACTTCCAGATTCTTCTGAAGCAGTTTGAGAAAAACTTTCAGGGAGTGAGAGACTCCAGGCTCCATTGGAGAGGAAGACAGTAGGAGGGTCCAGAAACAGGCCTCTTCCGGTATACCTACAATGCAAAAATAGATACGTACCTGATCAAAGGGAAAGCTGAGGATATCATCATAAATAAAGCTTGCAGAAGACAATACGGATGGGTGCGCAAGATACGAAACAAAAAGCTGAATTTAAAGAAGTAATCTGATTCATCCATGTGGGATGGAAACCTCTCTGTAAGCAACACTATGGGCTGGTTGCTATGCAGAAGACGCTTAATGCCCAAGATGAATATTGGAAGCAAAGTTCTACAGAAATGGTCAAGTACGAATCATGAAAACACTAATAAATTCATTACCACGGCTGCTGGAGAAAGCCTGTATAAGGTGATGGTGCTTGTGCTTCCATCGCTCCTAAAGTATCCCCATGGTAAGACCCCCGAAGAGCTAGGACCTAAAGTGGCAACAAATGTTCAATAACAGGTACAGTAAAGTGTCTAAGTATCACTGAGCACTAGCAAGATGATAGTACCTTAACAACAATATGCTTATTCTCTTCCGTAGCCTCAGAAAAATCCAATAGGGTCTCATGATCAACACAAAACTTACGAAATGCCATCTTCAGGGCTATTTCGATTGCTGTGGATCCATTATCTGAGAAGTATACTCGAGAAGCCCAGCCTGCAAGCAAAACTTATTAGCCCTCCACCAATGTTTAAAAATAGAAACAATGTGACAGAACATGTTTAAAAACCTTTTCCCACTCCATCTAATAAGAGCTCAGCACATTTCAAGGCAGGTTCATATACATTCTCAGGGAACATAACATGCCCGAACCTAGCAGCAGTGTAACCCATCTCTCTAGCAAGCTCAGCCTGAAATAGCCTAAACAAATGTTCAAAATAAACTTCAGAAGATTCATCACAAGATAAAATAAGCATTAAGATTCATGTCGTCATAAGACAATAGGGACTGATAGGTAATCATAAAACTTATAAAACAGTGGCCACAGATGACCTGGAAAGCAGGATCTGGCCCCTGTGTCCACCAGCTTGCACAAGCGTCAAATTGCTGGGTAATAGAATTATTATCGGAAGCCTGAAAATGATGAAACTCACAAGTCTCATTACTTGCTACAAATACTAGAAGCAGATATCTGAAACCATAAAGCTACCAGATTCCTTAGGACTATACAAACTACACAAGTAAATGATCTTCTCATACAAACCTTATATATCGAAAAGTTTTCACCACATCTAGAGTCTATAACCGTCACAGTTTCTTCCGCCACAAGTTTATGCTGAGTAAACGGCCACCAAAAAACCTCCACTGCTTGCTTCGCCATGCCGTTTAATCTCTCCACTCTCTCCAAATAAACTGACACCATCACATCTTTCAAAGCCTTAAACACATCATCGGATTCAACAAACCATTCAACAAGATCATCTGAAGGGTCCTTGGGAACAGGTGGAAGCACAAGCACAGGGACCCTAACCATCCAAAAATGTTCAATCAATAAAAAAAAAAAAAAACGTAAAATAAAAATTAAAAAGTAACTAAACTAGTAAAAGGCACCAACTTGTTTCTTAGATATGAGGTTAATGGAACTTCATTAACAAGGCCATGATCCTCAAAAACGACAGCAGCAACGTCATATCCTCGAAGTTTTAGACTCTCATACGCCGCAATAGTCCCGGAGATACCACCCAGCCTACCGTCTCCAACGAGAATCCCAGGCAATCTAAACGGCCTAATAAATTAAAAAAAAAAAAGATATTAACCAAATTTTTAATCTCCTAAAAGTAATCTCAAAGGAGAAGGAGATAAGTTGTTATTAACCTGTATAAATCACACTGAAGACTCCCCGATGGCCCCGGACTCGCCACTCCACCAGCAGTCTCCACTAAACACAGAACATTTCTTTCACTCCCACACTCCATCTCTTCCCTTAAACACTGCTCCAACATCTTTAACACAACGGAATCCTCAACCGTTGCATTTTCCCTCTCCGCTGCTAAATGCGGAGAGATAGCCGCCTCCCAAGCGTACATCGTCTTGCACATAAGCTCCGGCGCGCCGGTGACTATATTCTCCTCCGAGAAGTTCAAATCGCAGATTCCATTCTCGCTGACCTGGAGGTACCGTCTCAGAGCTTCCGCTACGGGGAGCGAAGAGCGGAGGACGGAGTTGGAGACGGAGATAGGAATCCGGCGGCGGAGGGAGAGGGAGGAGAGCTTGGAGAAGAGGAAACGAGAGTCGGAGTCGGTAGGGAAGCCGGTTTGGATAGGTTTCAAGTAGAGGAGTTTTTTGGTGGAATGTGCGGGAGGTTGGAGGAGGAAGGAGGCGGAGATGCCGGTGGAGACTAGGGTTTTGCCGAGAGAAGTGTTGGCTGACCAGATTAAGTAGGTAGGGTGGTTGAGAGGGAGATTGAAATGTGGAGGAGAGGGAGGAGGATAGGCAGCGGTGGAGTTGAATCTGATGACGTGGCGTAAGTTGCGGAGACGGTGGCGGAGGAGTGTGGCGGTTACAGGAAACATATTATCAGGTGGGAAACGGAGAGAGAGAGGGAGGTGAAGTGAAGTGAAGTGACTGATGATAAATCTGTTGGTTCGCTTCAGTTGGATTTTGTTTTAGCTCCTTTCTGGAACCGGAGGCCCATAGCCGTTTTTAAAAAGCCTGTTAGTCAATATACATGACTATCCAATCTTTTACTTCTTTTTCACTTATATTGTTAGAACATCACCTACCCATTCCATAATTTACTGTAAAATAAAGTGAAAAATTGAGGAATGGATAAACAAAAAAGTGATTACAGTTTTTTGTTTGTTCATCATTCTATTTTAAACAATGCAGTTCATAGTCTCCTGTTTCAGGCCAAACTCCCACCTTCCTTTTAGGTTGAGGCCCTTCATACTGATGTCTATCTTTTAAACATTCTTCCATCTAAGGCTATTCAAAATCATACGCCTTACACAATCCTCTACAAAAAGCTTTTAAACTACAATCATTTAAAAGTTTTTGGTTGTCTTTGTTATCCCAACCAAAACCATTCAACCACTCACAAGCTTTCTCCTAGATCAACACGTTGTATCTTCCTTGGTTATCCTAAAGTTCAGAGAGGATATCGATGTTATGATCTAAACACTCGCAAGATCATTCTCTCTCGTCATGTTCGATTTGACGAGTCAAGCTTTCCTTACACAAACACAACTCCTCGGGAGATGATCACAGATCACTCTCTCGATCAGGACTCAGGGCCTTCTGCTCTGTTTCGGCAAATTCTCCAAAACTCCACTTCACCGGTTGCTGCTGCCACTTCCCAGGTGCCAACTCAAGTAAAATAAGCCGCTGCTAAGGTACCAAGGCATGCCATGACAACTCGATCTAAACACGGGATTCACAAAACAAAAATTGTCTTCTCTCTACATACAGACATTGTTCCTCCTTTACCAAAAAATCATCGACAAGCTCTAGCTGACCCGTTTTGGAATCCAGCCATGAATGATGAATACAGTGCCATTATTAAAGTAAAACTTTTGAATTAGTAACAAGACCGGTTGATGCAAATATCATAAACTCTCTCTGGCTTTACAAACATAAGTATGATGATTATGGTGTTTATAAGAAGCCAAAGGCTCGTCTTGTTGCAGATGGAAAAACGCAGGAACAAGGAGTAGATTTTTCAGAGACTTTCAGTCCAGTGGTAAAACCTGTTATTATCCGAATTCTACTTCACACTGCACTTGTTCATGACTAGCTAGTGAATCAACTAGATGTTCAAAATGCTTTTTTACACGGCAACTTGGAGGAAAATTTTTACATGTTTCAGCCACCAGGGTTCGTGGACAAGACAAAACCCAACCATGTCTGTAAACGCAAGAGATTAATCTATGGGTTGAAACAGGCCCCTCAGGCTTGGAATGCACGTTTCGTCAGTTTCCATCACCAGACAGGGGTTTAAGTAGAGAAAAAATGACACAAGTTTGTTCATCTACGCAAAAGATGGCATGAGGGCTTATCTAATATATATGTTGATGACATTGTCATAACATCATCCATCTCTGCTCTTCGCAACACAGTCATTACAGTTTGAAAAGAAAGTTTCCAATAACAGATGAAGGACGTATCAGCTTGTTTTTGGGCATATCGGCAAAATTCAATGACAAAGGATTGTTTTTAAATCAAAGTCACTATGCACAGGAAATTCTGGTTAGATCAGGGATGCAAGACTGCAAGTTGTGTGCGACGCCTGTTGATTTGAAGACAAAACTTGAAGAAAAAGAAGGCAAGCCTGTCGATGATCCTAAGGAATATAGAAGCTTGGCAGGAGCTTTACAGTATCTCACGTTTACTCGCCTGGACATATCATATGCTGTACAACAAATATGTCTCTTTATGCATGACCCTCGAGAACCTCATCTACTTGCTTTGAAACGAGTGCTAAGATACATTCAAGGCACAAAAGAACTTGGTCTGCAACTTCTAAAGAACCAGAAGATGACGATGACAGACTATTCCGATGCGGATTGGGCTGGATGTCCCTCCACTCGCCGTTCAACCTCCAGCTTCTGCGTCTACCTTGGAGACAACTTGATATCTTGGTCTGCTAAGAGGCAACCAACTGTCTCTCCATCAAGTGCGGAAGCAGAGTACAAGGGCGTAGCAAACGTTGTGGCTGAAGCGTGCTGCCTAAGAAACCTTCTTCTGGAAATGGACTTTCACATACCTTAAGCAACAATCATCTACTGTGATAACATAAGCGCAGTGTATCTTTCCAACCCCGTGCAACATCAGAGAACAAAACACATTGAGATCGACATTCATTTTGTCAGAGAAAAAGTTCAAATGGGCCAACACTACAAGAAAACAAGTCTTTAGCGACTACAATATTGGTAGTAAATTGGTTGTAAAAGCACATTTACGACTAACTTACATCTAAATGTGATTAGTCGTTATACGCTAGTCGTAATTCACTTTTCGACGCGCATTAGTCGTAAATGTACGACAATTGATGTTAGTCGTAAATCAGTAGTAAAAGCTGTAGTCGTAA